ATAAGTTAGTTCCAAATACAAGAGCTGCAACAGCACTACCATGGGGAAACCTCCTGTCTTTCCTGAAATGAGCAGCTATAACACACAAGTCAGACAACAGCCTGTTAAAGATGAAAACAACCCAGCAGCTTTGTCTATTCTCATTTTTGTATTCTAGATTTTACTTAAAACTTTGTATGTCCTTAGGTTTAGGTTAAATATAAACAGAGCAGCCAAAAACTAATGTAAGAAATAGATCTGTGTTAACCTCTATTTAAATGACAGTTTTGAGGGGGAAAAAAAAAGGGGGGGGGGAAATGGGAGATGCTTCACAAAAAAAAAAAAAAAAAAAAAAAAAAAAAGGCAAAGCAGAAAAAATTGAAACTTTTAAGCTCAAGTTTCTAACTAAAAAAATTAAGCTAAATATATTTAAACAGCTGGAAATGACATGCAGGCAAATTTCTCAAAATACGGAACATCCAAGTGATTTAGGTACTGAGAACAGACAAGGAGGTTAGGACTGAGATACGTAGGCAGCTCTGTATGGCTTATTGGCTATGGCTTTTTCCATGTGAAAGCAAATAAAAAACTTCTTAATGAGAGGCAGCCCTAAAAGTAAAATCTCTACTGTTGCTTCCTCAGCTATAACAAATCTCACTGGACCTAAATGGTTAAAAGAGATGAACTCCAGTGTCTCTCCATTTCTGGAAGAGCCATTTCACAACCCAGGAAAACTCAATATTGAGCAATAAAGGAGTAACAAATTAATCAACCATGGAAAAAAAATAAGCCAAGGTCATGATGATGGCTTCCAGCATTTCTGATGATTCTGAAACTCAAGAGCAGAAAAATTTTAGAAGATTTAGTCTGGTTTGTACAAGAGAATTCAGGGGAAATACAGTTGTTTGAATGGATAATCACAGGGAAATTCTGGCTGCCTAAACATTAATGCTCTAAAAGAATGACGTGCCTTCATCTCCATAAAAAGAATACCTTAATTCATCCGACGCTGCAGGCTTCTTATTGCAGGACAGCTTTCCTAAAACTTACATGTAATTCTTAAAAATAACTTTGTAAAGTAGTAAGGGCAGTATCAGCAGGTTTTCAAGAATCCTAAATTGGTAATGATAATGCCATCTTCTGGCAAAAAGAGAAAAGACCTTTACCACTGCACAGCAAATAACAGCTAGAATTTCCCAGGTATTGCCAGGATCTAATTTGCTTTTTTGAGATTACGTTGTTTTCTGGTACAGACAAATATAGCATTCTTTGAGGTGATAGTTCGATATAAAAGCCCAACCAAACCTTGATCCCAGCAAAGCTATGAATAACTTCACTAAAAATAGGACAAAGACAAAAGCCTTAAGTTCCTTAAAACAGCTGAATATAACCTCTGTTCTGTGAAGGAAGGGAGTGAGTTTGAAGGCACAATTCACTATGAGCATGTAGTTCTAATGTCAAAGAGAGGTAAGTCAGTTCATTTTGTTTATGTGGCGAAGACCTGAGGTCTCCACAACCTATTTCTTAGCAAAAAAGTTTTACAAAAATCTCAGCATTACAGCACTTGCCTGATGGTAATGGATAAGTACTTATTGTAAACAGTGTATATATTTCTTAAAGGGACCAAACTGAAAGCACAGATCACTCTCCTGCTTTGGTACTATAGGGTTTTTAAGGGGCACAAAGATAGGGAATAAGTCAGGTGTAAGTACTGGAAAATAGTGATTATTTGTATTGTGAGGAAATCAATTCATCACAGAATTATGCTCTAGGAGCTGATCCTCCACTTTAAAATGCTCTTTTAAAATACTTATTAATTAGCTTTTAGACACATGCTTTAAGTCACAATGCAAAGTAGAGAAAAGACTGGCTTTCAAAGACAGTGTCAGTTACTGAGCATAAAAGGAATCTTGTACCTGCACAGACTATATTAAGAATAAAGCAGCCTTAGACCACTTTATCTGAATCCTTTTCATATTCTGAAATATTAAAGATCTCTGAAAGATTAAAGATCTACTGCTCACTTAAGTAAGCAAAGCACACATACACCCTGATACCTGCTACTCATATTTACCTGGCAATTCTAGTCAATTTTCATTGGTACTTCTTATTGTCACCACTCAGACATGTAACTAATATCACTATAGCCATGGAGCTCTTAGAGTGGGTCCAGAGGAGGGCACTAAGATGATCAGAGGGCTGGAGCACCTCTCCTATGAGGAAAGGTTGAGGGAACTGGGCTTGTTTAGCTTGGAGAAGAGAAGGCTGCGGGAAGACCTCATTGTGGCCTTCCAGTACTTGAAGGGAGCATATAAACAGGAGGGGGAACGGCTGTTTATGAGGGTGGATAGTGATAGGACAAGGGGGAATGGTTTTAAACTGAGACAGGGGAGGTCAGGGTTAGATATTAGTTCTTCACACAAAGGGTGGTGACACACTGGAACAGGTTGCCCAGGGAGGTTGTGGATGCCCCATCCCTGGAGGCATTCAAGGCCGGGCTGGATGTGGTTCTGGGCAGCCTGGTCTGGTGGTTGGCGGCCCTGCACATAGCAGGGGGGCTTGAAACTAGATGATCTTTGTGGTCCTTTTCAACCCAGGCCATTCTATGATTCTAAGATACGATTCTATGAAGTAGTGGAGAAGTGAAGCAATCTTGTGTGCTGCTCCAAGCCTTACAAATGTAAATTAATGCAACTATACATTTCGCTCTGCAAGTAATCCATTGTCATCGTTCTGAATCATAAAATGTGGTCTGACTGTTAATATGAGGAACAATTCTCAAGGGCATCTGATAAAAGTAATCAACATACAAAGCCTAAACATCACCTTGTTTTCCCATCTGTCACTCTATATCACATAAATCATTCCACCTCACAGCTTAGAGAAACAAATGTTAAGAATCTAAAAAAATCCATAAACACATGTACGTATGTTAACTTTTCTGACCACAACTATACCAAAGTATTGTACTCATCGTTTGTAACAGGTTACCCTAAGATGTCTTCAGAACAGGCTCTGAGTCCGTGTTTTTTGGAGTATAAAAGCAGAAAATCAAAATGAAGCCAATTTTAGCGGACAATCCTGTAGGAGAGAAAAGGGAGACTTATTCACTCATGTTACCAATCACTTACCTTTATCTCTTATTCATCTGAGAACTAAGTTCTTTTCAGACTATGATACAAAGCCAAGTCTGATTAAGCCCTCCAGAAGTGAACAGCTGATATGCTTCTCAAAGGTAGCACACCAAATGCTTTCTCTTTAATTATTCTGATCCCATCTCTCATACATGAGGACATTACTGTGAAGAACGGGGTCACAGAGAGATTGCACTTTTATAAATACAAGCTCCACAGTAAGAGATATTATTTCCATTTAAAAAAAGGTGATTTTATTTAATGCAGTAGATGGGGAGCTATGAAACTGCTTCAAACATTTATAGATCTCTGCAGCAGATTCATTTATAAAATTGCAGGATTACATTACAGAAATCCCTGTCCATGTACGTGAGATACTAAACCTTTTTAGTTGAAACAAGCGTTGTAGCAGTTCTGAAGATACAAGAAATACAGCTGAATGCTACCAATAGATAACCATCTATGGTCTTTGTTTAATAACTGGGAAGGAGGGAGCACTTCTGGTGTTGACTGACAACCATCATACAGCCCAACAACGACACAGGTCTCCTCTGTGCACCAATAATGCAGACAACCCTGAATTGCTCACTCTATGATTAATTTTTGTATTCTCTGCAACAGACTTAAAAATTACCACTCTGTGTCAGTTATTGTGTTTTCAAACACTTTCTAATTTGCACGAGATGTTCATTATGGCAATAATCCCTTCACACCAAGAATAGCACAGCGAGCTCAGCAGAAGAGACCCACAGCTGACACCCGACAGCTGCTGGGAACAGCAGCTGCATGGAAATGGGAAGTGTCCAATACTCAATCACACTCCAAGAAAAGAATCCCAGAGTTAAATCGGGATGCTGATTATTTGAAAATTGTGCCTAGGATTCTCCTGCCAGTGAGATTTAACAAATGGCACTCAATATTTACTTTATAATTATACCTAAACAAGCTGCTGTGCATCTGGAATTACACTGCAAAGCTCAGAGGGACAACACACGCCTGTGGTTTGCCCCGAGGCAGTCACTGCTCTCCCTGCTACATTTAGTCCCAGAAGGACCAACTGTGTAGTTTCAACCTGACAGGAGCCTGCAGGCATTCCTCCGGGGACACACAGGGCACGCAGCTCGCGGGGAAGGGATCGGCCACTTACTGACGGCTCCAGGCCGGGAGCCGAGGAGGTGGCCCGCGGTCCTCGGACGAGGCCTGGCAGTCGGATCACAGCGCGCTCCGCTTCCCTCTTTGCCGACCTCTTCTTCCTTCCCGGAGCCCACAAGAGGGGACGGGGCTGAGGGAACGGGGACGGGGCTGAGGGAACGGGGACGGCACGCCGGGGAGACCACCCGCCGCCCCTCACCGACCGTGGCAGACAGGGAGGCGGCGGCGGCGCCCAGGCCGCGTCTCCATAGCAACGGCGCCTTTCGCGCTTCAAACACTCGCGCCCACCGCCAGCGAATGGGGGCGACGAGGAGGTGGGGATGTGTCGCGATTGGTTGCAGTGAATCGTCAATCCCGCCCCAGTCCCGCCCACTCTCCATCCCGGAAGTACAGGTGAGGGCCGGCAGCGCTGCGTTCCGTGCGGGTTTTGTTCTCTCCTCCCGCTCGACTTCCGGGCCGCTTCTCCCCAGCTCCCCTTTCACTGGTCCCGGCGTGCAGCTCGACGTGGCGTCCTGGGATTGCGGCGGTAACGCCCCCTCTCTCGGCCCCCGCCCGGCCCCTCCGTCGTGGGGCCGCCAGTCCGGCTCCCCGCCTCGGCTCCCCGCCTCTGGAGAGGTCCGGCCACACCCGAGGGCCGCCCGACCTCGTCCCGCACACAGCCAGAGCCTGCCTGCCGCCCGCGGCACGGAAGCGGCGGGCTGGAGGCTGTGCACCCGCGGGCTGTTCGTCCTTGCGGGGTCGTTGCGGCCGCGCGGCGTTCCCTGTTTCGCCCGGGAGGTGGCGCTGACGGTCGCGGTGTGCGGGGCCCTGTCTGTGATGCTAGTAGCGAGGGTTGGGTTTGGCGCGGCTGATGGGGAAACTTGCTGAAATGCGTAAAGAGGAGTGAAGCGAGGGGGCTGCGTGCTGCCCTGAGGCTTTGCTGCTGGTGGGTGATGTTACCCTGTGCTCTGATCTCCACACGGAGTTGTTGTCACGGTGTCTCATAGGACGGTGAAGGGGAAAACAGCGCTGTGTAAATGTGTTTTCTATTGAAAACAGCGATGCTGCCAAGGTAACAAGTTCTACCTGAGGCAGGGAGTTGCGGTGTGCTTTAAAATGGATTTCTCATCTCCTTTGCTTTTGGACTTTAAGAACCGGTTGCCTTGGCTACACAACTTTTTGCTTCCAGCACTTGTCACTTAAGAGATGTGTGGTTGCTACTTACATCAAATTAATGCTTAACTTGAGTGTCAAGAAGCTTTTAATTTTGTATCACAGCTTTATATCTAGGCCAGATGACAGAGCGCCCATCCTCTGGCATCGTGTTGCTCAGCTTTGCCGCTGACATCCTGAGGAGTTCTGTGCTGCAGGGCATCTGTGTTGGCAGTTATTTGTGTTTGTCACTCCCAAGTAATGTTGAGGTATTATCTTTGCGCAGTGTCTTTAGATTTTTTGCAGTGAAAAAGCTTCAGACTGTTATATTTCTGACTTCTGTTTTACTTTTGTCATTTTACCTCACTCTAACGTAGCGTGTAAAATAGCAACTGCAAAGAAGTGGCACACAAGTCATATTTCATGCTCCTTGAAAACTTTTTTTTTTTTTTTAGTTTTCTGTGAGTTTCTGGTTTTAAAAGGAAAGGGCTTAATTTTCACGTCGATAGTTCACATGGGTGGTTACTAAGATGCAGTTTAGCTATGCAGTAACAGTGAAGGATTGGATGACTTTTAGCCTGTGCTGAGAACATTTTCTGATAAACATGGCTTGTCTGCTTGAGCTCTGTGTTATTTGTGCTTGATCCTCTGTGCTCTTCTGCTGCTCTTCTTGCAGTTAAGAGGGGGACATGGCTGTAAGAGCATGTGGCTTGATAATCTACAGAAGACTGCAGCCATCGCCATCTTCTAAGGCTGCTGACAGTATTGAATACCTCCTCCTCCAGACATCTTATGGGACCCATCACTGGACCCCCCCCAAAGGTGATGTTTGTTCTGATAACTTCAGTGTTGCTTGTGTCAGGAACGATATTTCTGACGGAATTTGGCTGAATGCTCCTAAGGTTAGCTTTGGGGGCAGTTAACTAGCTACATTCACAGCTAATTGTGCTCTTTGGGCACCAGAGTGAGGAGCTGTATGGCTCTATCAGAGCCAGTATTTGGTGGTACATGGTGGTACCAGAAAAATCACAACACAGAAATATTTCAAGTACATTCTGCATTTTCTTAAATACTGTTTCTTCCCCCTAGTTTGTACTTCTTATTTTGTAAAATAGTACTCTAAACAGGAGTTTATGAACTGGGGGGAAAAAAGCTACTAACAAAATTAGCTAATTGAAATTAGCAGAATTAATTAGCTGTGTTCTTCCGTTAATGAGCAAACTTTACAAACCTCTCCTTCTGTCCACTTCACCAAAAACCTAGCTAGAAGAGTTTGCAACCTAGTGGGAAACCAAGGGCCATAACTATTATGAGAGGAGAGACCCATGTGAAAAGCTTTCTCAGGGAATGCAGAAATTCTGAACATGCCAGCATGTTGGCAAGTGAAAAGTCTCAAACACGTGTATCTCGTGCGGTCAGATCGTAATGTTAAGGTTTTATAGATTAAAAAATGAAGGAGTTGTTACATTTTATGTTCTCTTCAATGTGAGTGGTCTTCAAAGGCAGTTCCAGGTTGCAAAAACTTCCATACAATACAGATACAAATTTAAAGTGATTATAACTTTTAATACTCCTGACACCTCTCCAGGTGCACACAGGATACAAGTCTACTTATGACTACAGCTGCACATTGATATCTTTAAAGTTCCCTAGGCAACCTTTATGGAATTAAACTGTGCTTGCCTGGATTCCCCCACATAAACACCACTCTGATCTGTGCTCTTAAAACTGTGACCTGGTACAAATTGAGTCTGGTGAGACGAGATGCAGGGTTTGTTTTCCTCCTCAGCATATTGGGACTGCATGAGTGTAAATGAATTTGAGGAGCTGAAAGCTGCAGTGATGTGCTGTCCGTTGTCCTTTTTCTCTTCCGGGTAGGCAGAGTATACCGCTCAAATCTGGAAACTTGCTGAGCTTAGGGCAGAGGTTAGCAATAGTGGGGTGTGCTGGTTACCTTTTGCTGTGCTGGCAGCCCGGTGGTAGCATCCGTGTCCTGTGAGTTGAAATTGGACCCAGCCTCCAGTTTTATTGCTGCCTCAACTCACTGCATTTTTGGTATTGATAGGTCATGACTGTTATAAACTGGTTCTTTACTGTTCTTGGATGTTCTGTGGGACTTGCTGTGGATAAGATAAAAGAAATCTAGTTGTGCAAGACTAGGTGTATTCTTTTTCTCAGCCATTAGTAGAAGTCCCAGCTTTGGAAATATGCATATTCTTCAGAAAGAAGGAGACTTTGACTTGCAGTGCTGAGAGTCAGGGGAAATAATTTTTACTTAAAGCTACTGTGTGTTTCATCTCAAATATCTAAAACATCAAATGCAGTGTCAGATGCTGTTTTTTGCAGTGATTTTTTTAAATAGAATTGTGTTTTACATTTGAGAAAGTGTCATGTAAAAGGATGGTTAAGTTACTGATACATAAAGATGTAAGAGAGGCCTCTTGACAAAGCAAAATGAACTTCCCACATACACCAATTTGATTACTAAAAGGTGGCTTTGGGTGCCTGAAACCTGAGAAAATACTTGTCTCTGTGATAAGCTGTGCTATATGCAGACACCTAAATAGAAAAGAGAGTGATACCAGAGGCAAAATAAAGCTTTTTTCTCTCCCCCCTAACCCCCCACCCCTTGAAGCCTCTCAGCTCATGTTTCATTGCTTTTTTGAGATCTTGCTTGGCTTGTTCTATTTATGGTCTTGTCTGGATCTTTCATGAGAAAACCAAATCTGACATTTCTCAACAAAAATACAAACAGCTGGGGATATGGGGATGTGTTATATTTATCCTTTGTTTGTAATGGCCGCTCTCATTCTAAGCAACATAAAACAAATAGGGTGTCCTGGAGAACTAAAACAGCCACTGGCAAGACTGGCATTGAGGTGTGCTGTACTTCACAGGGTAATATGGAAAAAAAGTACAAAGACTCTTTAACTGCTGCATGACCCAGTGCAATAGAAAATAGTGGTGATCTCTGATAACTTAGCATCCAAATGTTAGCATCCAAGTGTTCCTAGTGTGGCTCAGGAATTGTACCCTACTTTTGGAGTACAGCAATATTAACTATGAAGCATAGCAACCTTGTGTGTTTTCCAGCTAGTGATTTCATGATTGACTTCTTAGTGGTTTAGGATGTGCTGAAACAAGGGAATACATGAAGCTGATTTGGTTCTGTTGGTAACTTTCACTTTTTTTTTTTTTTTTCTATAAAATAACGTTGAAATTTTATAGTGTTCATGATGTTGTCCTAAGCTGTGAATCAAGAGATTCAGAGTTTTTTTTTGTGAAACTCACCTTTCAGATGGAATTTGCTAGTGTCTGGTGTCATTGTTTCTGTGTTGTTTGTGTGAATAAGAGTTTTGCAGAACTGAGCCTTGAGCTTCACTGGGAGGGAAGAAGTTGAGGGAGAAGACTAAGAGTCCTGGAAATCAGCAGTCTCCTTTTGAACTGGCTAAAGGAAAAATACTCAGTAGGCACTCAGTTCTTAGCCTGAGGTGTAGTGTGAGCTGGACCACTGTGGGTGCATGGTGCTCCAGGGACGGTAGGGCTGGGAAGAAAAGATTTCTCATGCTAACGGGCCACTGGTTATTTTGAAAGATGCAGTATGAATAACAATTGTAAAAGCCACAGGAGCAAGATCAAGGCATAAATGTTTGAAAAGAAACCTCCATTCTCTGATTCTAGCTTGATTCTTTGTCCGCTATTGTGTTCTCTCTTCTCTCTCTTTATATTTCTCAGTTGTCAAATGAAGAAACAATGTCTCAGTTTTTGTCTTGGAGATTTATTTTTTTTATGCTCTTGACAGGCCATGTGGATCCAGGAGAGGATGACTTGCAGACAGCCTTCAGGGAAACACAGGAAGAGGCAGGTCTTCAGGCCAGTCAGCTCACTCTTGTAGAAGGGTACAGGAAGGAACTGCACTATCCTGTCCATGGCAAACCCAAGACTGTTGTTTACTGGCTGGCAGAGGTGAAGGATTGTAACACAGAAATTAAGCTCTCGGAGGAGCACCAGGCTTTCCGCTGGCTGAAGCTGGAGGATGCTTGCAAATTTGCAGAATATGAGGATATGCAAGCAACTCTGAAAGATGTGCATCAGTTTCTCAGCTCTGATAAATAAATGCTTTTGTGAAGAGCAAGAAGAATTTTTGGAGAAGCAGCCTGATATATATATTTTTAAACTTAATTTTATTTTTTAGCCAATAGAAGTACTATGTGGCTGCAGAAATATACTTTGTCTTCTAAACCTCTACAAAGTCAGTAATAGATACTTGGGGCTTTTAACGAACTTTGTCTCCCATAGCTGATGTAAAAATAATGTGGTCTGACTGAACTGTAAGATGAAGAGGTGTCTGAGTTGAAACCTTGAGCTAACAAAGTCTCTCTGTGTTCCTCTCCATTTTTTTTTCTTAAAGTGCTGAATAATTGTGTCTATTTTTTAAAATCAAGCACTTGATGTTTCTTGACTTGCTGATATAGATCTGTAGTGTTGTAAAAATGAGCATATGGAGATTTTTTAATAATAAAATGTGTATTGCAGAAGTCGCATCTTGCATTTAAAATAGGGCAGCAGTAGTTCTGTTCCCAATTCCTCTGCTGATATGCTGTGATAACTTGTCAAATCATTTCAGGTCTTGTTTGTTTGTATCATGAATTTATGTACATGGCTATTATTCTGTTATGAAAATAGTTGCTATCCAAGGAATCTCAGTAAACTGTTGACATACAGTATTTAAATGGTGAACTTGGAGTTCTTTTTTTCCCCCTTCCTTTTTGTTCTCTAATAGACACTTATACATACATTATTCAGAAGGTTGTGACAGGGAAATCTATGGCTGCCTAATAGAGCATTTTCTGCACAGGGTATGTGAACTAATAGGCCTTGCATCTGTTTGATAGCATCAGTGTTGGCTGCAGGCTGCACACGCAGGGGCAGCACGGTCATGCGCGTTGTCAGTGCTTTGCTGCAGATAATTCTGTTGGATGATTACAGTAGGCTGTGTGGTACTTTTGGCTTCTGCATCTTCACCTGCATCAGCTTTTCTGTGAATCTCTCTTTTGTCTTTGACGTGCTAGCACTTTGTATGATCACTGATGTTCTGTTAGTAATGACTCGTAATCCTTTGGGTTTTTTGGTAATACCATAAAAGAATGATAGCATTATTAAATTATTGAGAAAGAGAACAAGTTTTCTGAATCCCTAATATCTCCCCCTCGTGCTCCCCCCCAAAAAAGTCCCTTCTTCCCTTTGTCCTCTGTAGATTTTGCTGCCTAAGCACTTGCATTTTACTGCTTCACAAAGCAAGTAAGTGTATGAGAGGGGGTTTTGCTTCTATTCTGTTTTCCTCCTTGCTTCAGGAGGGAAGATGGTAATTAGCATTATATTAGCTCTGGTGAAGACCCTCAGTACCAGAGGTGCAAGCATGACTGGGCTGAAAAATGTGCTGCAGGTTAGTGTTGCAATATTCCCCAGGTATGTGGTGCTCATCCTTTGGCACCTGTGGCAGTAATGTCATGTTTATCACTGTTACCTTCCCATGGATTGATTTACAAAAGTATTCTCAAAGTGCAGGTTTTTTTGCATAGGTATAAAAACAAATAAAATCTAGCGTTATTCCACTTCACAGGTAAGTTTTATTTCAACTGTTAACACTGTAAAAGCATTACATTCAGGTGATGGCAGAAAGTGAACAGCGCTCAGGTTTGTGCAACTGCTCTGCGTGTTGCTCAGCTAATGGATGGAAGCAGAGGGTGGAAGACATCTCTCCAGTGTCACCTGGTCCGTCCCCAACCCAAACCCATCAGCTGTTTCAGAGTCTTTCCTGGTGGACAACTGAAAATGTGAGACCTCTCATGATGAAATGCCACATTTTTCAGCTCCCCTGCCCGTATCTGGGAAAATTTGGTCTCCAGCATATAATCTAAGCAAGTGAGAAGTATCCGGAAGATAACTAGCAAGGGGGAAGGGTAGAAAACAGTCAGATGCCTGTGCAATTTCACAGCATTATTTTTTTACATTATTGTTTAAGCTGCCATCTAATCAGTACTATGCAAACAGTTGTGTGATTGCCTTCATGTTTATGGGAAAGATTTGCATGTTAAGTATGAATTACAGAGCATCTTTAACAAGTCATATGTTCTGCCCATTCAGCAGTAGTGAATGTTTGCTCCTCTGGGAAGCACAGCACTTGTTGAACTCCATGTATGTGTTTTAATGGCATTGCTCTGTGCATAGCTCCCTAAGTGCACCAGTATTTTGGAGGTTAGCAAGTGCTGTGCACTGTAAGACGGGGTGCTCTATAGGCAGAATTTCAAGCAACTTAATTGAGCAAAGAAAAAGTTAAAAGGTATGTAAACGTGGTAAGTGGTGAGGCATTCTTGTGGGCGTTTTGAGCAATGTGTGTACAGAATGTATTCTCATAATTTTTGTGTGTAAAAGGATGCTTACACATTTGGAAATTTGACCTAAAAGTGTACACAAAGTCTTTGGATTTGTTTTAAAGGGTAGTATTGAGAAGTCAAAATGTAATTCTGAATATTGTTTGTGTTTTTTGGTTACCGGTGGAGAAAAGTGTTCTTTCTTTGCCCATGTCTAGAACTATTTTCCCAAGAAGCATCTGGGAAATGCTCCAGTAAAAAAATAGAGAATAATCTGCCTGGGGAAGACACTTACAACCAATGTTTGTCAGTTTATATCCTGAACTGCTGCGTTGTTTTGGTTTTGGTTTGGTTTGGTTTTTTTTTGAGACCAGCCAAGCTCTCAATAATATAGCAGTTAACTTTTCACCAGGCTGGAGGTCTGTGTCAGAGGCGAATTTCTTGGAGAACTTCTATCTGCCATAGATTAAATGAAATCAAACTGTAGAGAACTGCAAGGGTGCAGGCGAAGGGGATGGAGTCAGGCTTTTTTTTCTGTTGTACCCAGTGCTAGGATGAAAGGCAACAGGCACAAACTGAAACACAAAAAGCTCTGTCTGAGCATCGAGAAACACTTCTGTGCTGTTTGAGTGACAGAGCATTAGCACACGTTGCCCACAGAGGTCGTAGAATCTCCTCCTTGGAGATCTTCAGCAGCTGCCTGGATGTGGTTCTGGCCAACCTTTTCTGAGTGTCCCCACTTGTCCTGGTTGGACCAGGAGGAGCTGGAGGTCCTGCCAACCTCAGCATTCTGTGATTTTGTGAAGTCAAAGCTCCACTGAAATTGCGTATCTTCACTTAGGAAAAAGTGAGAAATGTTAAGGTAAGTTTCTTTTGCACTACTGAACAAATATAGTGATGCAGGCTCATATCTGTAATGTGCTGGTGTTAGTATTTCTCCAGATATTTCCTGATTTATAGCTGTGATTACAGTTTACAATGTTACAAGATCAGCAAGAAGGAAGGCATAAACTCATGAATATCAGGAACACGCTAAGACATTGCAAGTTTGACTGAGTAAAGATCAGAATTGAGCATGACAGGTCACAGATAATTGTGCAAGAAGTGCAGAAGCTGAAGAGTGTCTCCTTTCTAGAAAAAAAAAAAAAACCATGAAACACTAACAACAAAAACTATTCCTGCTCAAAGTGGGAGCAGTATATCTATTCATTGACTATTCCATGTGACTACAGAAAATCAGACTGAAACTGGTATAAAATGGCCAGATAATATCCCCAACAAGCAGCACCATTAACTTGTCATTCTACGTAAAGGAAGAGGATGTGTACTATAATGAGGTTCAGTAGATTTTAAGCACATAAATGTTTTGAGAGACAGATACTCACCAGGACTCTTGCAGTGATGCAGAGGAATGGAGTGCAGTTTTTTAACTTTGAAAAATGATTTGCTGTGTTAACTTAGTGGGGGGAGTATTTTGGCAGATAGAGGAGGCTCATCTTTGAGTCCTGAAGACAGTGCTTATTAGTTAAGTTCACACACTGACAAAGTAATCAACAGCCTTCTGTGACTGTTGGCAGCTAGTTAAAATTAAAAAGTATTTAAAGATCACCAGAGCTTGCATTATACTTTGTCTCCAAGGATTTACTTTCTCATATGCTCAGTAACTAGAAGTTCAGGACAATAGATGGTTGAAGTTGGCAAGATGCCAGCTTCATTTTGCTGTATTTGGGCTTTGTTAACTAGAAAAGCCAAGCATTTAGGCATTGGGTGCCTAAACAAAAGTCTGCTCTGCTTGCTTCAACCTTGTGCTGCATAGGGTGATTTCTGTGTTTAAAGAAAAAGGGGAAAAAAAAACACCAGCTCTTACATCCCCCAAACAAAATGGTAATGCCTGGAAGGAGGTTCACTTCTTGGTGAGAATGGTGAAGAGTAACAAGCAATGAAACAGCAGCTGTGTTATTTTGGTGCTAGTCCACCTGATAGTTGGCGTTATCGAAAAGAGGAGTGATGGTTCCATCTTTCCACTCAATGAATATCTCTCCATGCCGCAAGGAAGGGGAACGAGATGGTGGGAGGTATGGCTGGGGGCATCGTCGTAAGGGAGACGTCTCCTGTAAGTCAGCTCTGCTGCTGCTGGCTGGGGGGTTCTTCAGAGCAGAGAGGATTTTCTTCTTCCTGGGGTAAAAGAGGCAAGGGTATGTAATTGCATCTGCCTATCACTTTGTTGCCTTTGCATGTAAACTGAATCAGCAACCATGATGCCCAAATTCCCTTAACAGCCTTCAAGGATTATACTGTATGTATAGGGAAGAGATAGCCAACAGCAGTATTTGCATGGGATGGTGAGTGGGAAAGAGAATAGTAGAGAGGAGAAATCATCAGTGACATCATGGGTGAGCACAGCCACATTCTGAAATGCAAAACAGGGGTAACAGACTGAAAGAAAACATAATCTAACTTACTTGTTGTAATGAACATTGAGTGTCAGTATTATTAATCCCAGTATGAATGCCAAGGGGCTGAGAACTAGCATTGCTGTCTTCCAGTTGGTGCCTGGGAGGAAGTAATAGGAAACAATCATGCGATGCTTATCCCCATTCTTATGCAATAGCCAGTGTTGCTGCAAAAACACATCAAATATCTCTCCAAACTAGCAGGTAACAGAAAAACTGCTTTTTTTTTATAACATCAAAGCCATACAGCTGCATTAAGTTGCACAGTATCCCTCTGTTGAAGTTGGCAATAGAAAGATTTTATTTCTTGCCTGGAAGATGACTGCCGTTGATTCTTCCCTGTTCTGCAGCACTCTGACATAAAATAAAAAAAGGCTGAGGAAAGGCACTCATGTTAGTGCATATTTGAATTTCTTATGCTGAACAAAGTATTCTCACACGGGACAAAGTATCTGCATGTTTTCACTTATTTCTAGGCCTGGGGAGATTGGCTTGATCTTTCAGGGGAGCTTTTCTGGGGTTGTTGTTCCTTACTAATCATCCAGGATGCAGCATCATGTAACTGCAGCGGATAAGAAAGTCAGTGGCACTGATGAGCCTCTATCTAGCTGTTCTCTGTCCTGTGCTGATCTCTGGACCTACCTGCAAGCCTAGCCCCAGTGGTTTTCCCTCGATTTCCATGATGCTTTTTAGAGTGATTGTACAGCACATCTGGAGAAAGAAGCAGAAAGACACAGATTAATGGTTTCCATTGTTGGACCAAAGGAAGCTCTGGTTTCTTCCTGAGCTGAACTGTAGCCACTTGTATGGAGCTAGAAAGGGATAAAAGGCTTGTTCCTCAGTGTTTCCCTGTGTCTCGCTCCAATTGTTGGAGGAGATGGTTTGATAGATGTACCCAAT